ATGTTCATTCGTTGATCTTACAGTTGTGAAGTTTGTCTAACTTTCCTTGGAGTTCAGATATAGAACGGAGTGTGAAGAATTCCACTAAGCCTTACCAAGAAATGTATTTTTAATGAAACTCAAAGCAAAATTGTATCTTAACTCTTTACTGCATGTATTTTCCATTTGACACAATCTATTTCAGACTAAGGAAAATGGTTATTTATGGTTATTTATCACCTCATGAATTTTAAGCAGCATGCCTTAAAATATTGAAGAAAAGCAATATTAGAAAGAGGCCAGCCTGCCCAGGCTTCTGAGCTTCTCAAATGTATGCTATAGGCCCATGATGGCGAACCTATGGCACACAGAGGCCTGTCTTTGGGCATGTGAGCCATCACCTCAGCTCGGCTCCATCGCGCATGCGTGTGTGCCTCCCACCAGCCACCTAGCTTTTGGCTCTCAGCCATGCATGTGCATGGGGGCCAGGATGCATGCATGGGGCATGCGCACATGTTGGGAGACATGCACATATTGTATTTTGGGGATGTGCGCACTCAGTGCCAAAAAGGCTAGCCATCACTGCGATAGGCTAGACCTTTTCTTATGCTCTTTACAACACAATTCAAAGCTTCTATAGACATTTCTCAGTAGTAATTCCAGTGTTCTCTTTCTAATAAGCACATGGATCCTACCCAATACTTTCGTTCATCCATTAATTAATATTGATGTAGTTAGTCCCAGTGGTTAACTGCACAGTGGCTCAGCAAAATACACTTACAAACACCGCAAGAGATGTATACTCCAAAGTACTGTAATTAAATAATCATTTGTTTTGTTACTTTTTCTAGAGTCTCAACATCTTTTTTATAATGTGGTGACCAAAACTGGATGCAGTACTCTAGGTGTGGTCTTACTAAGGCTTTACAGAGTGGTATTAGTACTTCCCTTGATCTTGATTGTATCCCTCTGTTAATACAATTTAGGATTGCATTAGCTTTTTTGGCGGCTGCTGAACACTGCTGGCTCATATTTAGCTGGTTGTCCACTAAGACTCCAAGATCCCTCTCACAGTTACTGTTATTGAGTCTGGTTTCACCCAGTCTATATGTGTACTTTTGGTTTTTCTTGCCTAAGTGTAGGACTTTACTTTTCTCTATATTGAATTTCTTTTTGTTAGATATGGCCCAGTGTTCTAGTCTGTCAAGATCCATCTGGATCTTGAGCTTATCTTCTTGGATGTTAGCTATTCCTGCCAGCTTAGTATCATCTGTAAATTTGGTAAGTTCCCCTTCTATTCCCTCATCTAAGTCATTAATGAGGATATTGAAGAGTACTGGGCCTAAGATGGGACCTTGTGGCACCCCACTGCTTACTGCCCTCCATGTAGACTTAGACCCATTAAGGACTACTTGTTGAGTACGGTTTGCCAGCCAGTTGTGAATCTATCTGGTGGTGGTGCTATCTATTCCACTTTTTTCAGCTCCATTCAAACAAAGGTAGTTCCCCCCCTGCAATCCAAAACATGATAGCAGCTAAAAAATCTGCACTTAAATTCAGTTTATAATCAGCAATATTTTAGCTATTTCTACCTGTAAAAGGTATATTCTTTAGTATCCTTTCAAATGGAGAGAATCTGTCACTCAAGGAAGAACATCTGAATTATAAGCTTAATAGTAACAGCTTAAATATTTGTGATCTCCAGTTAAGGCTTAAACTTTGGCTTCCAAACCTAGATAGCCATTGCCAAATAATATCAACAACATCAGGCTAGTTAAACCAATTTTCTGACTCGGTATAAGGCAGCTTCTGACATTTCTAATTCTTGGCTCACATTTAAAGATGAAATATAAAATTTTATGAACTGCTCCAATTTTAAACTAACTTGCTATAGATTTCTGTGGTTCTTATTGTTTGCTCCATGGCATTTTAGATCCGATCTCAGTACCTCAGAATTATATGTTGTCAGAATTGTATGTTGTTTGGCTCAGGCAAATATAGCTGAACCCCGTTTAACAGGCAGTTTATCTCATATCCTTCCAAGATTTTTTCTAATCCCAATCCTGTTTATTGTTTTATAGGAAAAGATAAAGGAATTAAACAAACAGGAGACATGCACATGAAGATCCTTTAGGTTCAAAGCAACTGCTTCTCACTAAAAATGAGAAAAAATGAGAAAAGGGTAGATAAATTATAAGGAATGGTGAAGAATGGTAAAAAGCTGTGAGTTTCAACTACTCTAGAAATCTTCTGATTCCTGGTGATTACACCTTCTAATAAATTACCAGGACCTTTGGCCTATCTTTGAATTAGGTTACACTCGGGCATAGTGGAACACCAGAGGAGTTTTAAATTTAGTGGGCATGAAAGTGAGAGGTTACATCCATTAATATGAATAAAGCAACTGATGCTCAATGGAGGACTGGAGCAATATAAGAAGAATAACACTAGGCACTTGGATTATAGATTTCCCCTTTCTTTCCATGAATATATTTCAGTTTGAAGAACTATGCATTTTGTTACTGTATTCTCTATGTGTAGATAATCATCTTTTTCTAGCTGAAAGGGATCCACTTATGTTGTAGAATTATCTGGATGTATTTCACAGGTCAGGCACTCCTAGAATTTTCTTGGTCACTGATTAATTGATCCTAAATGGTATAATTAGGATTTTCCTGCACTTCTGGTCTGTCATGCATGAGCTCTGAATAAAACAGCTAACCCACTGCTAGTTTTTGTACTGTAAAAGCTATTGAACAGAGGAACCATTTTAAAAGAAAATTTAAAATCCACAAGATTCTAAAAAAATTTCTTCAAACCATGTTTTTATACGTTAAATATTTTAAATGGGGTGAACTTGTGATGAGGCTCCATTATTACTGACATCCTTTGTTATTTCTTTTGTTGTCTTCTGTTTTTAAATATTTTACAACAAGTGGTTTTAGCTTTGTTGTATGCCCCCCAGAGTTGCTTTTATAAGTAAGATAAATATGTCCCATACATGAGCACTCCAGAGTTTTATCATTTCATCTTATCATGAGTACTTTTTTGTGTGTTTTTTTCTGAAATTAATTGTGGAACTCATAGATGGGACCTAACTACAGGCAATCCTTGACTTACAACCACAATTGGGTTCAGAATTTTCATCACTAAGTGATGCATTCATAAAGCGTGATGTCACATAACCACATCTCTCTTAGCAGATGAGGGATCCCAGCACTCACCATTGTTGTTACTAAATTCCATTGGTCGTTAGTTGAGGATCCACCCAAATTTAAGTCATCAAACCTCAGCTGCCCCAGCCCAGTCCCAGCCACTTTTGCCACCCTCAACTCTGAGACTCCTGCCGCCTCAAGCTGAACCTGTTTTCTTGCTTCTCTTCACTGAGGTGTGCCTGCCCTGACCTCCCCAGATCTCGTGAAAAACCCAAAGGAAGCCCCACGTGGCCAGCAGCTGCTTTGTAGGGGCCATTCTGTTCCTGGTTCCTTAAAAGGGCCATTAATTCAGTGGATCTCATTACCTACTGGGTATGCTTAGGATGGAAACCCTTAGGCATGTGTGGTCAGCAGCAGGAGGAAGAAAATGGTGAAGATAAATATGGCGGCAGGGGCCATGAAGGGCAGGGAGTCAAAGGGAATAGTTGGTGGTGGTGGTGGGGAAATAGGCCGGTGGGGGGAGTTGGAGTGCGCCTACCATCATAAATGTGGGCATGGTGACAAGCACCCAAATTTTGATCACACAACCATGAGGGCACCTGCAACAGCTGTAACGTTAGGGACGAGTCATAAGCCCCTTTGTTCAGCGCTGCTATAACATCAAATAGTCGTTGAATGAATGGTTGCAAATCAAGGACTGCTAGTAGAGCCCTTGATGGAGAAAGCTACAGCTGCATCCTAAGCATATCTGCCTTGGCATAAATTCTGAAATTTTCATCGATTTCTCAGTACATACCGAGTACATACATCATGTTAAGCTAAGGGGTTTTTTAAACCAAGATTTGTTGAACTACTGTGTCTTTTTTAGATATAATCTGATAAAGTAACTGATCCTGCCTTTCATCGTAGAGATGTGTCAAAGATCTACCTTCAATGTAATTTATTTTATTCATTGTGAGCCTAATGAATGCTTTAGATCAACTAACTTGAAGTGAATGGGATGTACTCTACAGGATAACTATGCTTCACAGTGCCCATATCCTGCTAAAAATGATTTGATTAATTTTGCTCTGTGTTACCTTGTAAACCCAAGCATCAGCAGTTCTTCAGCTGATTTTCTGACTATGCAGTTTCTAGATATGGTGCAATATTCTTATATCTTATTGAGAAGCTTAAATTGGTGTTATTGGATTACTATAGAGGTATCTTCATTACTGCTGTCAAGAAAAAATATTAAAATAATTTTAGACTAATCCATTACATTAAGATAATGAAGCACCACAGTACTGTGCGTGCAAATTGAAGACGACAATATTGCTAAGAAGCCTACAATCACACCATTCAAAGTTGTGAACTCAGTACATTCATATCTTCCCTCTCCGAGTGCAATTTAGAAATGCTCTGATAAATTCTGTTCCTGGTTCCTTAAAAGGGCCATTAATTCAGTGGATCTCATTTCCTACTGGGTATGCTTAGGATGGAAACTCTTAAAGTTAAAAATGTGCTTGCTATATAGATATTTCAGTTGCTGGAATATGAACCAAAGTATGTGAATAACATTGTGTTTAAACAAAATTAATCAAAAACCCATAACATTAGGATATTAGCACATTAAATGAACTAACTAATCTATAGGATTTAACTTATCCATAAGCAGAGACAGGTTGCTTTACATAATTTGTGAAAACCAAATTGTATTATTTTCAAAGAATGCAATAACTGTGGATTGTCAGTGATAATCTACAACTAAATAGGCAATACAAATACAAATATCAGTCTTGGAATTGCAAACACTATCAACAATAGAAGAGGGACTAGTCATTGTACTGGACAATGGAACAGTAGGACTTAAGCACAGAAGTTTCACTGATTTCATGGGGAAAAAGCCTAAGCACACCTCGGAAATTAGGGACACAAGGGTGATCTTATACATCTTGATTGAAAGGAAATTCCACTGCATTAGTAGCAACTAATTTTTTTAAAAAAGATTACATGACATTTTGATTAGTTTGATTGGCTGGCTGGCAATATCTGTTATGGGGATCCGTAGCTGGCTTGATAACACTGCTCAAAGAATACTCATTGAATTGCAGTTAAGTATCGTGGTGTGTCACAGGGCTTGGCTTGACTCTCATTTTCATTCGCGTGGATGAATAGGTAGAAGCAAGTGCTTAACAGATTTGCTGATTATACAAAACTGAATAGGATAGCTAATATATTAATAGACAGGAAAAAATTAAAGACAATCTATTGACTGAAAAAGAATGCAATTTAATAAAGTTCTTCATGTAGAAAAAGAAATCAAATAAAAGATATTGAATGGGGGAATCAGTTGCCAAATATGAATCGGTTGGCATAAATGCTGAAAAGGCAAATAGAGTTTAGTATATTTTCTAAATTCCAGAAGTAAAGAATTATATTACATTCTTAGTATCATAGAGTTGCTGGGCACTGCCACTTAAGAGAGGCTCTGAAATATTGGAACAGGTGCCCAGTATAAAACCTTACCCAGATTATTCAAACACTGAATATTTAGCCAAGTTCTCAACTAGAATCTTATGACATTTCTCAATGTCACAAGGCCATGATTGGACTGTTTGAAAACTTCTCTCTGTGCTGTATTAATGCCAACAGTCACTGCTGTAGTGTGAATCCTGCTTGCCTTATAAGATTAAGAGTTGGGCATGTTTAAGCCTTCAGAAATAACTGGGGATGGTTAGAATCATACTTTCCAAGTGCCGGAAGACGGCTCTTATAGAAGAATGACTTAGTCTCTGCATCCCAGAGTGTGGGACCTAGATTAAGATGGCCAATTACAGGAAGTTATTCCAATGGACAAAGCAGTTCCAAATGCCAAGGGCTGGGACTCTCCTTTGCTGGATGTGTTCAGTCAGAGGCTGGGCGGCCATTTGTCTGGAATGCTTTCATTTGGATTTTGCAGCAAGCAGAGGAAAGCGTCTTCCTGTTCTGGACTTCCATGAAATCTTGTATAGATGTTACCAGACTTCATATTGATTTCATGTCTTGTGCAAAGCTGCATTCCTCACCTGGCCAGCTTGGGTTAAGAGTTGGACTGTTTATTTGGACCTATTTAATACCATTCTCACCCTCTCCTTCCAATTGTACCCGAGGGCCAAAACCAGATTTTTGTCCCAATGATCGCAGCATCCAAACGTGCAAAACCGTCCTTTTCAGGGTGTTAAACCTTCTCGTCTCTCTGCCGCCAGCTGTTGCTCCATCCAGACCGCGCATAATAACAATAGGCTCCTTGAGTCCTCCGGACCCCGTCCTCCCCCCAGTTTCGATTGCAGCCCGCTGGGCCCGCTCCGTCTCCCTCCCTCCCTCCTCAGCTCGGGACGGCCAGGCTCATTTGGAAAACTGTACAGCGGCGGCCACCCCGAAGGCGGAAGGAAACAAGTGAGGGAACTTGCAAGCGGTGCAGGAGCAAAGGGTCGCCCCGTCGGGCACGTGCACTGGGCCGCACTGCTGCTGCTGCTGCTGCTGCTCCTCCAGGGCCGCCGAGAGGTATTTGTTGGCCGGTCGCAGCCTGTCCGGGTGATGGTGGTGGTGGTGCAGGTGGTGGTGGCTCACCGTCCCCGGAGTAAGCAGCACGGGGCCCGGGGCGGCAGCGAAGAGAGGCAGTCCAGCCAGCAGCAGCCTGGGCCCCGAGGAGCCGCTGATCTCCCCTATGATTCTCCGGAGCTCTTGCAAAGAGCTGCCCAGCAAAAGGATGTAATTCCGCGCCAAGAGCAGCGTGGCGATTTTGGAAAGCTTCCGCCCCGGCGAGCTCTGGCAGTGAGCCGTCGAGTAAGGCAGGATCACCTCTCGCAGCGCGTCCATGGCCAAGTTGAGGTCCTGCATCCGCTTCCGTTCGCGGCTGTTGATCTTTCGGCGCAGCAGCTGCTGCTCGCTTTTGCTCCCGCTCGCCCGGCTAGTCCCAGTCCCGGTCCCGGACCCGGTCCGCGTCTGGAGCTGCTCCGCCGCAAACTCCGGCCTGCTCTCCTCCGCTTGTTTGGGAAGCAAGGCGGGCGGGGCCTGCGTGTAGCGAACCAGCTCGTACGAAAAGTGTTGCCTCAGCATGGTAGCCTGGCGGGCTTTTCAGAGCCGGCCACGGGCTGGCATCGCCTGAAAAAAGCTCGGGAGAAAAAAAGGCGGCAGGGAATGGCGGGGGTTGCGGTCCAGTTGCGGTTGTTGGAAAAAGGGGAGAAGGATCGACCGGTCAATTGCCCTTTTAATCTCCCCGCTGGAATGAACGCCGAGATGCGAGGAAAGGGATTCTTGAGGGCAGATCCACTCACTCCAACCCTGTATTAGAGCGAAGGAATGACAGGCTGCAGCCAATGGGAGTGCAGATCTGGAGGAAACGAGGCGCTCATTGGCTGCCACCAGATGCTCAGGGAAAACATTGCAGTGGATAAGACCCTTATGGTGAAGTCAGTTTTTCAGCTTTGAGTCTCCTGGTAGCTTAGCGCAAACTTCCAGACAAACCCGCCCGTCACCTGTGCTTTCTGATTTTCGCTTAGACGATTAATGCCCTTTTCTGCAGGTCCAGAATTTATAAACAGGCATTTCGGGTGACAGTGTTAACAATAAAATAGGACCATGTGCACCCCAAAGATAGGTTCACGCATACTCTTATGCACTTCTCTGAATTAGCTTTCGTTTTCTGTCAGCTTTCATTTTCTTCTGCCCTGTGTTTTGTTTTGCATTCAGAAATCCCTTGTAGAGAAGACAGTTTTGAGTAAAAATTGTTGACATGTTATATCCCATTTGTGTATGGTACAGTACTGGCAGAGAGGAGTCTGCCAACCAAGGTATATGTCTACCCAAGCCTACTGCTTTTCAGCAGTGGACAATAGAATGGCATAGCAAGCAAAGTGTAAGGATGTTATGTTTCTATATTTTTCCTTCTCTTATCAGAATTCAGAAATATCCAGTTCTGTTTCCCCTCAATGTTTGGGTCCTTGCTTCTTCAGCCCCAGTCCTTCACAGTTGAGCACAGTCAGAACTAGGAATAATGAGTAGAAACCACCTGGATTAGATGTTAGGCCATATAATTCAGTATTTTTTTTGTCGAACAGTAACAATGGGATGAGAATATCTAAGAGGTGGACCAGCGAGTAGTAGCCCTCTAACAGCCATCAAAAAAATAGCTACTCATAGCCTAATCTTCTATAAAACTCTTCAGTGCCCTTTTAAAACCGCCCACATCAACTATTTGCACACCTGCTACCAGTTCAACTGTATGCTGTATGGAAACTATTTCCTTCTGTCCACCATTTTCAGTTACGACTTTGAACTCTAACACAGAGTGAGGAAGATTTTTCTGTATCTAATGTCACCTGAACCATAAGGTGGGTGGAAAATAAATGATTGATAAATATATGCCATTCGTGATTTTATGTGCCTTTATTATATTGCCTCTTCTATAACTTTCATTCCAAATTAAAGAATACTGTTGCTTTAACCTTTATACAAGAACTGTTGTAGCTCCCTAATCATTTTTGTTACAATTGTTGCATAATCTTTAACAATATAATTTGCCTAATACCCTGTGTGATGTACAGACGATGTTATTTTAGCAGTTCAGATTTCAGTTTTCTTCCTAATGATTTCGAGCATGGAATTTGCCTTTTTTTTTTTGCAGTTGCAGGCTCAGTTGATATTTTTACTGAGCTACTCACATGACTTCAAACTCAGTACTAAGTCCATACTATCTCAAATCTCATTAATTGATCTCATTAAATAATCCAGATGTTTTGTTTCAGCACTATCACTTGATACTAAAGTGCATTTGCTATTTGAAACCCTTCCACCTTTTGAGAAAGAGCCTTTTGCAGAGTCTTACAGACAATTTTTGACATTATCACTCTAAAGATTTTGATATAAACTGCCAATATGGCCTCTTCGTTATCAACCCTACAAATCACTAGTATGTCTGTTTGCTCCTATTCTTTTTGTTTTTATAAAAAGTCATGTTAAATACACGATAATGCAGAGAGCTTATTTTCTTCTTCTAGTCTAGATTTAGGGAGAGGAAATCATTGAGGGGTGGGTTTCTCCCAGTTTGTACCTAAATTGGAATCAGGAAGGTATATATTCAATAGCTGATAATCAGTGCAAATAATTCTCTGCTGCTGTTTTAACTTAATTCCATGGTGAAATAACCAACTGTTAGGTATGTATGAAAGCACAATAATCTAGCTATAATACAGATTATACGGGACAAAACCTACAGAAATGTATTCAATGACTTTAAACAAAAGCATTAAAACATACTAAAGTAACATTTTATAAATATTATATGTTTATTAAAAATGTGGATAACTGCTTACTGCAATTAATAAAAGAACAATATATTGAAACATGGTAGATTTTCTAGTTTTAAAATTAAATGCTTTCATTTCTGTATTTTCTGGCCAGATCTATTTTTTTCCAATAGGAAGAAAATTACAGTCTGTGTTGGCACAGAAAAAATGCCCCTCCCGCTGTCCCCCCCTCCCTCTCCCTCTCCCTCCCTCCTTCTCTCTCTGTGTTTAAGGAGAGAGAGAAGCCTCTTCTTTTCCTTTGTAAATGAGTTTAAAATAGGCCATCAACATTGATTTTAAATTTTGGAATAGGTTTAAAAGTATCCTTATGTGTGGAAACAATGTGATTCAGTGTGCTGTGAAATTGCATCCACAGATCTATAAAACTGATTTCAAAGAGTGAATTTCTTTGGAAATTAAAAAAGAAAAAAACCCAACTCAAACTCTTTAAGCCATTCTGTAGTTAGTAGTTTAAGCCAATTCCTGTACAAGCTTTCTCTGATGCAATAAAAGAGACAGTTTGCTTAGAAGGCGCTAACTGATTTATAGCACAATGGCCAATGGCATAGCCAGGGCTGTTTTTCTGAGGGCGGGGGTTTCCTTTTATATTTTGTTTTTTGTTGCAACAACACCCTGGCAAAAGTCTCAGGAGTCATCAAAAGAGGCGAGTGATTCTGCTTGCTTCTGGGATGTTCCAAGCGGTTCAAACAAACCCGTTCACTGGGACGCCTGGCCAAATGTGTGTTCCAAGGAATGAAAGGAAAAACAAAGATTGCTCTGAAGTAATTTCCCTGCACTGAATCCAGCCATCCGGTTTTACTCTTTCTTCATTGAATGGTCAGAATGCAACAGGAAGAGTAAGGCTGAAAGAGAACAACTGGCCAAATGTACTGGCAAAGGGAACTGCAAGAGACGGCAGGGGCAGCTTGATGCAAAATGACCATTCTTTGCTCTTGGAAGGAAATGAATGACCAGTGTTAATAAATGTGTCTTGCTGCAAAGCCAGGGCCAAGTTCCTACGACACCTGCAAAGACAGGAGAAGCTTTATAGATCCAAGCAGCAATCTCTTTATTGGAAACAGACGGGAGGTAATGGATAAAGAGGACACTGTTTGTCATTTGCCTCATTCCTTTACTGCTGTTAGCTCAGTCTTCTTATCTACTTAGGCAACAGCCATACCTGCTGCCCTTCTGCATAAAACACTATGAAGAGAACTGAACAGAAAGGGAGTGCACCATTGGCTGCAGAAAAGTAATACCAAATCTGCATTTCTTCCCGGCTGCCCCTGTTGAAGACAGAAATAGGGGGCCTGCAGCATTCCAGATGTTCCAGAGTATAACTCCAGGCCGCCTTAGCTAATGAAAAAGGAGGCTCAGATTGTAGTAAAATCTGCTCAGGGGAAGAGAGTACCCAAGTTTTCCACCAATAGTTTAAGGGTTATTGTACCTTAGTATTAGAAAAAAATGTGAGCTGAGGCCTAGCATGGAAGCCCTTTCCCCTGGGATGCAGACAGACTGTCATTCCAGATCCCTTAATGTTAGAGTCTGCAGTGGCACAAAACATCCTGAAAGACCATATAAGATGACTTGAACACATGGCTAATTGTAGAGAGTAAAGAAATGATCTTGACAGAGATATGCAGAACTGTTACCTAGGCAAAAGGGCCCAAACATTTCATAACTCCAGAATAATAACATTCAGAAGCAGTTCAGGCAGGTGCCTCCTGTATGAAAAAAGAGGAGGAGGCAGAGCACCATCTGACTTGCAAGATTCTGTTTCTATAGCAATTGCAATTGCAGTAAAAGTAGTTTAACCTTCCTGTGGGATTCATTTCCTGATCTGGTCTACTTAGTGGGGCTGACACCAACCCTGCTGTCTTTTGTAGCTACTTCTATAAAGGACAAGATTCCAGCCCAAACCTCAATATCAAATCACATTGGGGGCCCCGGGATACAGCACTCCAGATAGGTGTGTCTATAGAGTATTGTCAAAAAAATCAGGATGATGGGCAGCTGTGGTAGTATGACTGAAATTCTGTCTGCTCATGCAATGCTCATAAAGGTCATGCCATCATGGCTGCCATCCTGACCTTATGGACCTGATCCTACACATATCTCTGACTCTGTGCATAAAAGGAAAGAAGAAGGCAAGTGGAATGTCGTGATTTCCAGTTAGACTGAGTTCTGAGGAGCTGTGGTTGGAGAACATAAGATAAATGAATTGGGAACATCAGGGATTTATCAGTTAGCCAACAAGGATTGAAGACACTGTTGGGGACCCTTCTCCACTGAAAAAGAAATATTTTTTGCTACTAATCTGCTAAGCAATGAGGATTCTAAGTTGGTATAAGAAAAACTGTATTTATTCGTGTGTTTATTATCTTCAGTATTTACATCTGAGGATTGATGGCAGCGGCAGATAGTCCAAGAGCCCATACCCAGGTGCAAGTCAGTTTTGCTAGCCTTCCAGTGACAGAGATACAGAAGGGGTCTGCTAGACACCGGTCTCTCCTTCCTCTCTGTTCCTAGTTGAAATTGTTTTGCTCTAGCTCTCATTCTCTGTCCACATTACTGAATATGGAAGAAGTAAGCTACCCTGGGATGCAACAAGGATTGTCAATGGACAATTGCTTTAGTTGTTGAAAAGGAATGTTGGTTTCTTCCAAAGTGCACAGATGATTGTTCAGGAATTCATGGCCAGCCATTCTCTACAGCATCTTCTTTTACCTAGATGTTTGAGGCGCATACATCATCTCCTCATCCTCTTCTGGG